GTCAAAGCTAGGTCAGGACCAGGCACCCCCGTCAGGACGGAATACCGAAACGTCTCCGAGAAGATGCAAGCTCCTTCTTGGCTGGGTTTCTCAGAAGGACCCCAGGCTTCATGAAATTAGGCTAAAACGGGGTCATTTAAAGTTGATCGGATTTAGGGCTAATAGTGGGAAGAGTTGCCTGGACTGGGGATAGAGGAGCATAGTAGAAAGCGTAGTGATTTTTTTTTTTTTATGTTGTGCCTACTAGATACTTCCATCAACATCAATCATCATCATCATCATCTGTCAACAAACCTGTACTAGGGACACACTCAAGGTACTGGGCGAAGTACAGGGGATAAGACATAACCTTTGACTTCCAAGAGTGAAGGGAAACCAACATATAAGCTAACCTAAGTGAAATCCCATTACAAATGTTGTAAAGAGCAGGGGGAGAAGTGGTCACGTTAGCAAGGCAGGAAATGTTGGGAGACACTGGGAAGGCTCTCCTGAGGAGCAGGGACCAGGGGAGCAGAGGTGAGTACTGGCTGCTAAAGGGGTCACCCCGACACGTGACACCTGATATTCGGGATGTCCACTCAAGGAAGAAGACCAAGCCGATACATCCCTTGCCAACATTCCAGGCATCACCTGTAAGCAGGTGCCTCTGCATGGGCAATGGGCACAGCCTCCTCTGGTACAAGCCAAGTGCCGCTTCCTTTTCGCTGAGAGGTTTTCCCCTTTCCTTTGCAAAGGATTGGGCAAACATCTAATGGGTGGGTGTTAGGCACGCCCTTCGGGAAGACAACAGCCAGGGATGGGCGCTTCCACAAACGGTGGCACTGCGGGTGGGGTGCGAGGACAGGTCTGTGATGGGAAAGAACTGGGGCCAGGAAGGAAAAGCCAGGGGCGGAGGACGAGAAAGGGCAGCGTAGTCAAGTCGCACGCCTGTCTGGCCATCTCACGCCCGATCCGAACACATCTGGAAGGGGACGTTACCATCCTTGCCCCTTTAATCCTTCACTTTAAGGCAGGGGAGTTCAGCCAGATTCCCTGCTGACATATTCATTTCCAGCCATTACCTGGGCCTTGGGACAGGCAGGCTCCGGGTAGCAATGGCAGACCCTCACCCCCGACGGTGCCAGGGACGTTGCAGGAAGCACGGGTGTCCAAGGGCCACCATGGTGCAGCCTCAACTCCTCGCCAGCACGTTAGCCACACGTGGCCAGGGAAGGGAGAGGGCTGTGACCCTGTCTGTCACCTTCCTGAACCAGCGCCAGGAGTCGGCTGGGGAAGGGAAGGGTGGGGCACGCCCGCACTGAGGGTGAGTATCCGCCACTTGGCAGCCCTGTGACCTCGGACAGGCCAGCGGAGCTCCGCCCAGCCAGTCTCCCCAGTTAAAAGGGCGGCTGTGATGCAGTAACATTCAGGGAAGCATCCAGTCAGGGGCCTGGCACGGGAAGGCGCTTAGTCAATGCTGGTGTCTCCTCCCAGGAGGGCGAGGCTCTCGGCCACCAGCTGCTTCCCGGGCTGCTCACGCCCCTTCCCACTCCTGGGAGGTGTCTGGAGGGGCTGGCCTTGCATTAGCATCCCCAGGGGAAGCACTCAGGTTGGTTCACCTGGAGGCTTCCTGCAAGCCCAGAGGGATCCCTACAGAGAGCTCTTAGGAGCTGCGTGGCTGGAACCGGCGGGCATTCCGACTTAATCTTCTTTAAAAAAAAATATTTTATTGATTTTTTACAGAGAGAGGGATAGAGAGTTAGAAATATCGATGAGAAAGAATCATCGACCAGCTGCCTCTTGCACACCCTCTCCTGGGGATGTGCCTGCAACCAACATACATGCCCTTGACGGGAATAGAACCTGGGACCTTTCAGTCCGCGGGACGACGCTCTATCCACTGAGCCAAACCGGTTTCGGCATAACCTTGCCCAACTTTTTGCAAGTTTGGTCGGTTTGACAATGTCAAACAACAGTGTTGAAAGAACAGTACAGTGAACGGCTGTATGTTAAATTCACTAATTATTACCATCTCGCCACGCATGCTTTCTGTGTGTGCGCATACATATCTATTTTCATCTTTCTTTTTTTTTTTTTTTCCTTTGCTAAGATTGAAGATCTGGGCCTTGGGGAGGTGGTTAGGTCATGAAGGTGTAGCCCTCACGATGGGATTAGTGACTTCATAAGAAACACCAGAGAGGTTGCTTCCACTCCCTCCCTCCACCCCTCTCTCCCTGCCAGATGAGAACAGAGCTAGAAGCCAGGAAGAGAGCTGTGGCCAGCCACCAAGTGGGCAGCACCGTGACCTTGAACTTCCCCGTCTCCAGCACCATGAGAGGGAAACGTTAGGTCACCCAGTCCAGCCTGTTTGTCACGGCAGCCTAGATGAAGACGCAGTGGCAGTGGTTGTTGAGACTTCCATTAAAATAGCTCTCCTTTTCTAAGTTAAACATCTAAGCATTATACTTACCATCCGTGTGATTTTGGACAAGTTACTTAATTTCTTTGTGCCTCGCTCTCCTCAGGTAGAAGGGAAGAAAAAGGAGGCAAATTTCTACCCACTGACGTTTGGATACACGCATGCACATGTATGTGAAGTGTCCCTTGTATGGGGAGGGCTCCGTTAGCATTGGCGGCCGCTGCTGTGACTGTTATTAAACGATCGCCGAGTTCCTAGTCCCAGAGCAGAGCTGTGTCTCTGCAAACATTTTTAGACCAATTCTCAAGAGACACGACCTAGATTGTGGTCGTGAGCCACACTGGCTGGCTTTCGTGAAAAGCCGGTGCCTGCCTCTGGGAAGGCCGGTGCCCTCAGATGACTCTGCAGCTGTGAACCGAGGGCAGCAGAGGGGCGGTCAGCAGGGAAGCCCGAGGAGGCCTCCAATGGCCATCCTTGCAGGACCCGACCCGACCTTTCCCTGCTACTTGCCTGCCATGTGCCCCCGGCCAGGGCCCGGGCGCCCTCGGTGGTGCAGTGTTACCGCGGCAGGCCTCCTGGGCCCACGGGAGAGACCGGGAACCTCGGCAGCCAGCTACGGCGGCTGCTTTTGCTACAGGGCAGCCCACGGCCGGGTCCAGCAGCGCGCCCAGGCTGCGTCTTGCTGTATTCAGAAGCACAATGCTTAAGAGCTGGACATTTAAAAACGTTGCCTTACGTTCTGGCCTCAGAGGAGCTGCGGACCTCACATGAAGCTCTGACAGTTTGCCTAGGAAGGCCATTGTAATGCCGAGGGCGGTGGCTTTAGGATATGAAGGATGGTCATTGAAGTGTTTTAGCCCATGGCTGGCGCGAGCCACATGTGGCTCTTTGGCCCCTTGAGTGTGGCTTTTCCACAAAATACCACGGCCTGGGTAAGTCTACTTTGAAGAAGTGGCATTAGAAGAAGTTTAAGTTTAAAAAATGTGGCTCTCAAAAGAAATTTCAGTCCTTGTACTGTTAATATTCGGCTCTGTGGACTAATGAGTTTGCCGACCACTGGGTTAGTCCATAGGCAATCACTTTCCTCGTCTCAATACCATACCTTCTGCTGAGATTAGTGCCTTCATAGGAAGAGCTGTTTTAGGGTAATTTTCTCCTAAATGGCATGCTCCGTGGCCTCATACATGACTCCCACAAGGTAGGAGCCTTAATCGCAAAGAGAGAGAACCAAGTGTGGGGCTGGGGGGGGGGGCAGGGGTGTGAGGGAGACACACCCGAGCCCCCTTGGTGCAAAAGAAGGGGAGGGTATTCACTGTGCAATCTGGACCGCTGGCTGTATCTGGTTTGTTTCCTAAGGTCACCCAGCGCCTATGAGCAATACCTCAACACCCTTTGTTTGTCCTTGAATTCTTATCTGAGAGGACAGCTTTGGGTAGAAAATTTGCTTATTTTTCCAATAAAAGAAATACGAGGATGTTTCTAAAAGTGAGCTTTTTCTGAAGCTCCCTCTCTCTCTTTCTTTAAATAGGCCCTTTTGGTCTTTTTCTCCCTCCCTGTAGTGTCTCCTGCTATTTGCAAATAAATAGCATTCAAGTTAGTCTTTCCATTTTTACCATTGCTTAGCATTCCTATGCAAATGGCCACGAGATCACATGATACCTTCGGCTACTCTCATGGAGACCAGTGCTCTTGTCCAAGGAAAGGAGGTACCTGAGGGAGCCCCTTGAGCAAGGCCAGGAGGGCGACACCCGAGAGCTGAACCCCAAGTCAACGTGAATGGCGTGTGACAGGTACAGCAGGTATCCGAGGACCAGTCCCGGGCCAGCAAGACACCGGGGTCACTCAATAGAGTGTGCGGATTTGCCCAAAGTGGACGAGGGGGACAGGGGGAGGGCAACCGGAGCCAAAGCCAGGCTGCTGGGGAGCTCCCCCCCCCCCCCCCCGTCCCAGCCCCAGGAGGGAGCGTCCTGGCCCGTGGACGGGACTGCAGCCCCAGGGCCGGGCTGTTTGTAGGAGGTGCACGTGACGGGACCCTTAGAAGCACAGGGCGTGGAGTCCAAAGGCCCTGGTTCCCAGCCTGGCTCCTTCCTTCTTCTGTGACATAGCACGTGACGGACCTCTGTTTATACCTCCGTTTCCCTTTCCGGGAAATGAGGCTCCTAACCAGGTGGTCATGGGGACTAAGTCCATTAATCCACACAGAGTCCTCAGCACGAGGCCGAACACAGGGGAAGCGTAACGCTCCGTGGCTGCCGTGGTTACTGTCACCAAGATGGACTTCCCGGGCCATCCCAGCCTGACGCCTCCCCCTGCCCTAGTTCTTCTCACTCACAGCGTTCTGCTGGATCGCCTTCCCCATCCCCCCGTCGCCAGGGGATACCACACTGGCCACGCCGTCAGAGTCCCCCATCCACACGCAGTTACCACTTTGAATGACATCGAGCATTTCGATTCCGCGGACAGAGCCGTCTCCTAGGAGACACGCGGATGGGGACCCGAGGCTCTGAGTGGGGCCCGGCCCTGCCTCGGTGTCTCCCCGGCCTGCGTCCGAACGCCTGCGTCCGGAAGTCACGCACCTGCCACTTCCAGGAGCAGGCCTTACCCGTGACGTGGAGCTTCTCGTCCGTGACCTCCGCCTTCAGGTAGATGCGGCCCCTCTTCTCCGTGTGGTCCATCCCGCAGAGGCTGGGCACGTTGATCACACACTGCTTGTGCACGTTCATGTCGCAGGCTGCGGATCGAGAAAGCGGAGGGTGAGTGAGGCTGGGCAGATGGACCCGGACCATCCCTCGCTCCGTGTTTTGGTTGGAGGAGCGCGAGTGAAAACGAGCCACCCTTTAACGCGATACTCTGTTACCCTGTTGTTGGTGACACGGATACTTTGTTGCAATGTTGTTGGTCACACGGAGAGCTGGGAGCAGATGTCCCTGGCGGCACAGGCTTCCTGCACGCCACAACATCCTCTAAATACCCACGCCCTGTTGGTTCAGTCGTAACTGAAGCAACCTCGCTGCCTGGTCTTCTGGGACCGCTTCACACACGTAACGGTGCACGCACAGGCCAATGCCTACGTTTGCAGACGGATCCACACGCGATGGACACAGAGGCAAAGAACACGCACATTTTAAGCTGAGGCCACTTTCTGCCAAGGAACTGCTACGCCTTCCTAGCTCGCCACTTAGAAAGCATGAGAACCTGTGGGTTGAATCGAGGACATTCATAACATTTTCCTTTCCCAAAGAAAACTATTTTTCAAGAAGGCTAACATACATTGCCTTTGGTTTAGTGTGTGTGTGTGTGTGTGTGTGTGTGTGTTTAAAGAACTTGTATTTGATATTTTAAACCCGACTTCAAATATTTAAATATTACTGCAAGTACAACAAATACACGCCTGGCATGATATGCCATTCCTTTCCGGCTGACATTACGTGGGCGAGACGGGGGAGGATGAAAAAAAGACTAGTCACTGCAGCGAACCAGAGACACCCTGCGAAGAACCCTGTGTGGAGCACACACACACACACACACACACACACACACACACACACACACGGCCCCGTGGGGGTGCTGTGGCTCCAGGGTCCCTGCACCCTCAGGCTCCGGTCCCCGAGGGTGCCACGAGGCTCCTCTGTGACCTGCAAGGCAGAGCCTTCATGCCATTTCGTTGTGAGAGTTGAATTTCAACCGGGGGAACTATACTGCAAAAAGCATGGCGGAGGATGTCTGTGTGCCGGGATGGAACCCGGAGGCAGGATGATGGGCGTGGGAATAAACAGCAGAGGGCTGATTCACGCACGTGGACTCTGCCTGGGCTTCCATTTCCAAAGTTAACAGCTCAGAGCCCTGTATTTTTGGTTAGGAAGGATACAGACTCTTGAAATTACCTTCAAGAGCCTGGGAAGCATTTGAAATGTAAAGGAATCAAAGGCCACAGCCTCGGTGAAGGATCCTACAACCGGGAGGGCGAGGGAGGTGAAGGCGCGCCGGGCTCTGCTCTGGTTTTGGCTGCTCCCATTAGTGCCTTTTATGTCTTGGGAAGCTTATCTGCTCTTTCCGATTCCATTTCTTACTCTGCAGACTAAGAGGCTGGCCCAGACAGGCAGGTGATAGGCTTCTTCCCACCACAGGATTATGACCTACAACGTGCAGGCAGGCAGAGGGTTCTCACTGCAGAAGGTGAGGGAGGGGGTTGGTCCTGGCACTGACTCCCTCCCCGAAGGAGCACAGGTGGCCACCCAGAGGCCTCAGGACTCCAAGGAAAGGGGTTTAACACAAAATAAAAAGCACTGGTTTTCAGCCCAGCCAGTGTGGCTCAGTGGTTAAGCACTGACCTATGAGGTCACAGTTCAATTCCTGGTCAGGGCACATACCGGGTTGTGGGCTTGGTCCCTGGTGTGGGACGTGCAGGAGACAGCTGTTCAATAATTCTCTCTCATCATTGATATTTTTATCTCTCTCTCCCTCTCCTTTTCTCTCTGAAATCAATAAAAATAAATACTTTTTAAAAAGCACTGGTTTTCAGATTAAAAAAAAAAATAACAGAACCCATTTTCCAATGAAGACTTAAGCAGAATCCTAATATGTAAACCAGATGAGTATTATCTTATTAGCATATAATAAATTCAAATTTATGCCATTTACTTATTACAAAGACATTCATGGACAACCAACAGAGTCCTCAGATCCAAACACATTTTAAAACCAGCTGTGAGGGGTGCTGGGTGAAGTCCCCGTTCAGCCTCAAGAACTTGTTTACTGATGCTTCTTCTTCTTTTTAAAATATATTTTATTGATTTTTTACAGAGAGAGAGAGGGATGGAGAGTTAGAAACATTGAGAGAGAATTATCGATCAGCTGCCTCTTGCACACCCCCTACTGGATGCCCGCAACCAAGGTACATGCCCTTGACCGGAATCAAACCCGGGACCCTTCAGTCCACAGGCCAACGCTCTATCCACTGAGCCAAACTGGTTTCGGCTACTGATGCTTCTTGTTACAGTGACGCAGGACCAGGACCCCAGCTCCCCGTCTCCCAGGCCTGGGGACTCTTCAGAGCAGCGGAGGCAGCAGGAGACACCTGGCTACTCGTTCTTCTTAGTGAGTGACGCTGGGCAACATCCGGGCTCCCACGCCAGCCTCAGCGTGCCAAGGTTGAGTGTGCCACACACTCAAGTGCTCCTTTTAGTCCCAAAGCAGCCACAAGTATCCTTACAAATGCACTTCCTAAGTACACCTGCTGAGCCCCTGAAAAACATGTCTTTGGCATCCCTGGGTTACGTGAGGCTGTTAAATTCCACAGCTTGGCCCAGATGTTGTGGCTCAGCAGTTGAGTGATGACCTATGAACCAAGAGGTCACAGTTTGATTCCTGGTCAGGGCACATACCCAGTAGGGGGTGTGTGCAGGAGGCAGCCAATCAGTGATTCTCTCTCATCATTGATGTTTCTATCTCTTTCTCTCCCTCCCTTCCTCTCTGAAATCAATCCTATATAATAAAAGGCTAATATGCTTAGTGTCTGGTTGTCGGTTCAACCAATCAAAGCATATTATGCTAATGATATGCTAAGGCTGCTCAACAGCTCACTGTGACATACATTGACCACCAGAGGGCAGACACTCAGACTGGTAGGTTAGCTTGCTGCTGGGGTCCAGCAGATGGGGACTGAGTGAGATGGTAGTACATACCCTGGAGCCCTCCTGTGGTCCCAACCCAAATGGCCAACTTTCTGCATCCCTCCCCTGCACCGACTGTGCACCGGTGGAGTACCTCAGCCTGGCCTGTACCCTCTCGCAATCTGGAACCCTTCAGGGGATGTCAGAGAGCAGGTTTCAGCCCAATCCCACAGGCCAGGCCCAACCCCACTGTGCCCGAATTCGTGGACTGAGCCTCTAGTAAAAATATATTTTTTTAAAAAAAGAAAAAAACAACACACTAATATGATTTTTAAAAATTTTCCACAGCTTGCTGAAGGGGATTACCCTGTGTTCTAAGAAACTACCCATCTACTCTGTGAAGTTCAAGTGTCTTCATTTTTATGTGCCATATTTGCCCTACTTAGGATACACATAGAGAGCTTCTGGCCGCAATCACGGTCATTAACGAATGGCCAGATGCTGCTATTCCCATGATGCTTTCTTGTCTACTAGAAAAACAGACTCAGTCATTACCTCCTGTGTCCTCAAAGTACACACTCTTATCGAAGTCAATAAATAGTCTGAGAAATGCATCTCAACACATAGGAATTGTCAAAGCCAAGAGTTCCCACAGTGGTTCCCCACCCCCACCCCCACCCCAGTAGTCGATGGAGATGCACACAGAACCGTCCAGGAGCACGGAGCTGGGTTGCTGTCCCCACCCGTGGTCTGGTGTGATTTCGTCCTAGTTAGACGGACAGGAATTTGAGCTGTGCAGGGACACGCAGAGCTAGTGAAGCTAAGTGAGCAGCCATCCTGCCTCTTATTTTCACGGTGGCTCCCGTGTAAGGAGAACCTACCGATTTTCCCACATCCGCCCGCTCATTAGAGACCCAAAAGGATAGTGACCGTGATTGCTCAGCTTATCCTGAAGCAGAACCAAACGTGAAGCATGGAGGTGCTGAGTCTTTTAAGAACACATGCATCTGCTCCGGGGTTTGATGGGCCTTTATTCCACTGGGACAGAAGAGTTCTACCCCCCAAAGCTGTGACATACCCCAATGTCACGGATAAACTGGGTGCTTTCTGGGGTCCATAATTAGGCAGTTATGTGGTTTAATAAACCGGAACGCTGGCTGGGGGGAAATCCTACGCTCCACTGGCCCGGTATATATCGGAATGAGGTCTCCTTCTCGATGAGCTGGAGCTGAAACGCTACTGCACCCGCCGCGCTCAGGGAGCCCTGGCACAGGCTCGGAGCCTGGCCGCGGGCTGGGAAGGGGACCGTACTTACTGTCGCATTTCATCCCCTGGTGGATGAGCCCGTACAGCAGCGACCCACAGTGGTCGCAGAAGGTGGGGCTCCCGTAGGTGTGGATTTTGAACTTGTGCTTGCTCCGGGGGTCCTGCGGGGAGAAGCAGCAAAGTTGCTCATTTCGGTCACAAAAAGGCACACTTGTGGGCTAAGAGCCAAGGTCACCACCCTTCCCCCCACTCCCCATTCCCTTGTCGAGGTTCCAAGTGGAACCAGACTGAGATGAGGCCAGAAGTCCATCTTAGTAAAGAGCTCAGATGGGCAAATCCATGAGGAGCAGAGCATCTATATATATAAAAACCTAAGTGACCATTATGACCGAACGACCAGAATGACCTGTTGAGCAGTTACTATGATGCGCACTGACCACAGTGGGCAGATGCTGAACGCAGGAGCTTCCCCCTGGTGGTCAGTGTGTCCCCACAGCCAACCACCTGCAGTCCCTCCCCCTGGCTGGTCAGTCCCCATAGGCCCCTGGTGCTAAACCATTCGTAGATGACCTGCTCCCTCTACCTGCTATAACCAACCTACACCATGACCCCACCTGCTGAAACATGTAGAAAGGCAACAGTGAAGGCTGCTTCTTCCTCTCAGGACGCCTCCCCAGAGGCCTGCACCAGAGCCAACGTTCCTCTTTCCTCTGACCTCGCAGAGCGCACACACATACACACACATGCACATATGCATGCACACGCGCGCACACACACACACACACACACACACACACACCTGGGGGACAGACACCGCTGTCTAAAAAGCATGTGGCTGAATGCACAACTGGACCAGAACCAAGGCCCAAGGCTGACAATGATGTTTTAAGTATTAAGTTGATCTCTACCCGAGCTTCCTGGAAACCAAAGCAAAAAGGGAAAAGAATCACAGCAAGTTCCTCTGGGACTGCAAAGCTCCAGGATGCAAAAATCTGTTTTAACCCCCTCCCCCCCCCCACCTGCCCCCATCATTGTCTCACACATGCCGGACCTTAAGTACATGCAAGGAACCACGACATCTTTAACAGAGCATCCTCCTGTCCCTGTTCACTAAAGGTTCTGGGGAAAGTTACCGCACATAGAAGCTACGTTCGGCTGCCCCCAAGGCCACACAGAAACGGCTGGCACACACGCCCAGCCTCAACTCTTGCCAAGTTAGCAACCTTTCCCCATTTAGCCCCATGCAGGCAAATCCTCCTCCTCCTTCCTTCTCGGGCCCTGGCAGCCCCTCATTAAGTGGAGCAGGAACCCTGCTGTCGCGGGTCACAAGCCTGCCATTACAGCGTCAGGAGAGGGAAAACTCTCGGCTCAGATGCTCTGGCACGCACACGGCCGGGGGAGAAAAAAGAGATTTTAGACTAAACCAATTCTCATAGGCGCAAAGGAAGGCTAACCCACAAACCCGAATCTAGACCTTTTAGGGGGGGAAATAACGGACATTTCAAGTTCGATGGCAAGCACCCGTGAGTCTGTTTCTAATGCAGAAGCTTCGCTAACCTGCTTCAGAAACGTTTCTATCCGGACTCTCTGGGTCTTTCCTCATCAGCACCATCATCATTGTTGTGTAGTGTGTTAAAAATAAGCCCACAGACCTACATCACACCAAATGCTGATGCTGTTTGGGTCTTACATTTCCTAGCCTTTTTTATTTATTTATTTATTTATTTTATCATACATCATATAGGTTTCAGGTATAGATTTCTATGATACAAGGTCTGTATGTTATGCCATGTGCCCTCCACTCAAAATCAAATCATCTTCCATCTTCATGTGTTAGGCCCCCTTCGCCCCCTCAGTCCCTTCCCCTCCACATGCTCCTCTTCAAGGACCAAACGGCTGCCATGGAGGGCTGGAGCTCAGGTTCTGAGTTTCCGGGCAAGACTGTTTTTAACGGGGTGACGCCCTGCGGTGGGACTTCCGCCCTCGCCCGGAGCTCTGCGGCTCCTTCAAGCTGCTCCGTCTGAACACCAAGGGAAGTTTCCCCCACGTTCGCCATCTGATGTGTGCTCGTGAATCATGCTTGTAAACCGAGCCTGGGTCTAAATGTCACCCACATGCTGACTACACAAGCGACACCAAAAAAACATTGCTCTCAGCGGAATCTGGCAGCATTTCTGTGATCTTCCATTTCGTGGGAAGCAGATTTGTATGTGTTTTGTGTTTTTTTTATTTTTTATTTTTTTAAATAACTCTATGCTTTTTTAAATTCCTACTTAAATTTTTTTGTTAATGTGAGACTATTTCCCAAACCAGATCATATGACCAGGGTGATTTTATGTGACCTGGGTGCCATTATAATTATTACATTGGATGGCATTATATATAATGGACACATTATAATTATTACATTGAGCCAGGTGCCCACAGCCCCCGTCAGGTTACAGAATCCGCCCGGCTGACCATTCGGGCTCGGGCAGGGCACTCTGACTTTGATTACACTGGTCTCATTGCAGGTGGCCTGATGTAAGAAAGAACTAAGGAACTTCCGTTGTCTGGTGACCACTAATTTTTGCTCTTCATGTAACCCTAGTTTATTCTCATGGTTTACATCCACCTTCACAGTTGGACTAACTTGTCTAATCAGACTTTGCTAGTAGAAGGATTCTTATAGGCCCTCTGCCAAGCTATGCAAGATGCACTAAGCCTTATGTCGACAAACGCTTGGAATAAAATTCTATATAAACCTCTCCCAGCAAGGCAAAGCTAAATAAACTGTAACATATTTATACTGAGCGATACTACGTCGCAGCTAAGTCTAATGAGCTCAACATGTTCCTGTAGCAACACGGACAGACCTCCAAGACAGAGTGTCTAATGAAAAGAGGAAGCCGGAGAATGGAACAGAAAATAGAATGTCTCTTATATAAAAACAGGATTAAATATAACCTCCAGATACAGAATGGTAACAGAGCAGGACAGATATAACCTGTTTCCCCGAAAATAAGACAGTGTCTTATATTAATTTTTTCTCCCAAAGTTGCGCTAGGTCTTATTTTCAGGGGATGTCTTATTTTCGGGGAAACACGGTATAAGTACAACATGCATGCCTCCAGGGAAATGTGGGGACAGACTGGCTGTGAAGATGGCAGAGAGGAGCCTTGAAATAGTACATGAAAAGGTTTAAGTTAAAAAAAATGAATTCATACACATCTATGTAATCTAAACTACACCATGACTCCCACCTGAACATATATGGTTATATTTTAACTGGTTCATGAGATGCCAACATACTGGGACACCCCAGTATGTTGGGGAAATTGGGGCACAACTGCTGTATATGGCGATACATGGCTTTGCCGCTAGCTTCTCTAGCAATCTGCTGAGATCACTGTGCAGATATGGGTACCACCAGCCATCCATAAAGCTGCAATCTTAATTAAAAGCTCCATCATACAAAAGCCACATCTCCCTACTTGTAAAAAAAATTTATGTTGTCGCCACTTTCAGACGAAAGCTTGACACATGTCACACTGTCTCATCATTACAAAAGAATCCTCAATGGTTTTGTCTGAAATGCTGATGTTAAAGTAAGAGGTTTAAAATGTGCAAATATTCAAACCACAAAGCCTACCATTTCTTAGTTAGCTAGCCAGTTTCTTCATTTCATCTTAAAAAAAAAAAAATGATTCATGCCTGTCCGGCATGGCTCCATGATTGAGCATCGACCTATGAACCAGGAGGTCACGGTTCGATTTCCAGTCAGGGCACATGCCCGGGGTTGTGGGCTTGATCTCCAGGGTGGGGTGTGCAGGAGGCAGCCAATCAATGATTCTCTCTCATCATTGATGTTTCTAGCTCTTGCTCCCTTCCTCTCTGAAATCAGTAAAAACATAAAAGTTGTACCCCTACGGTATTCCAGGTAGTATGTCCATTAGATAAAGTTTCATAGCAATTTATGATAGCACAAATCAGGTTTTTGCTCATTAAAGACCTAGTTAGTTCCAAGGCCACAGTTTGCAAGGAAAATGAAACAGGAATACAAGAAGCATCGTCCTTATGTAATCCCCTGCCAGTCCTGAACAAAGTTGTTTCCTGAAAAGAACAGCCAGGGCCAAGTTTATGTGACTACCTAAGAACACATCAGGGATAAATGGAGACATTTATTTGAGAGCATCCGAGATCCTATCAGCTTGGCTGGACTGAGTGAAGACGGACTCGGGCTGTTGTTCCCGTGAGGAGCCGGCCTAGCAGGAGGAGATGCTGTGGCACATGTCCAGCAGCCTCACATTTGCTGCAGGTGGATAACAGGCCCAAGATGCTGCCCTTGTTTTTGTCACGGATTGGAAATGTCTATCATTAGGCTGGAAGGCTGCCCAGCAGCTGGTATCTGTTCAACTGATTAGACCCAACAGAGGCGGCAGAAGGCGATCCCTATCTCTTTCTTGAATCGAAGTCCAAAGGGACCAGGTTCTTTCTCCAGATGCCTGATTCTTCCTGCAGGCCACTTGTCACTCCCAATCAATCCTTCTGGATCCCTCCCTCCCTGCCCTGTCCTTCCCCCTCCTCTGGGCGTGGCTATGTGAAGAGATATTTACTTCCTGACATCCAAGGATCTTTGCAACTATAACCTCATGCTTTATCTTTAAAAATGTGCAGCCTTGCCGAAACTGGTTTGGCTCAGTAGAGAGCATCGGCCTGCGGACTGAAAGGTCCCAGGTTTGATTCCGGTCAAGGGCATGTACCTTGGTTGCGGGCACATCCCCAGTAAAGGATGTGCAAGAGGCAGCTGAATGATGTTTCTCTCTCATCGATGTTTCTAACTCTCTATCCCTCTCTCTTTCTCTCTGTAAAAGAATCAATTAAAAATATATAAAATGTGCAGCCTATGGCAAAATATTAGTCACAAACTTGTTATTTTCAGTTGTTTATTCGAATGTTCTAGTATGCAGATATGATCATATTTATTGTAACAGGATACAGTGAAGTAGAAAGGAATATGACTATATATATATATATATTTATATATATACGTTTTGGTTATGTTTCATTCAAGAACGATATGAGCGTGTAGGTGCACGCGTGTGTTTTCTTAAGAATCATCCTAAATAAACTGGCTCTCTAGTTTTTTTCTTAAAAAAACAACCTAACAGCTCATCTTAAA